CTGTTGTGGTCACCAGTATGGGTAACTGTTACAATGTTTACTGTTGTGGTCACCAGTATGGGTAACTGTTACAATGTTTCCTGTTGTGGTCACCAGTATGGGTAACTGAAATAATGTTTACTGTTGTGGTCACCAGTATGGGTAACTGTTACAATGTTTACTGTTGTGGTCACCAGTATGGGTAACTGTTACAATGTTTACTGTGGTGGTCACCAGTATGGGTAACTGTTATAATGTTTACTGTTGTGGTCACCAGTATGGGGAACTGATATAATGTTTACTACTGTGGTCACCAGTATTGGTTACTGAAATAATGTTTACTGTGGTGGTCACCAATATGGGTAACTGTTACAATGTTTACTGTTGTGGTCACCAGTATGGGTAACTGATATAATGTTTACTGTGGTGGTCACCAGAATGGGTAACTGAAACAATGTTTACTGTGGTGGTCACCAGTATGGGTAACTGTTATAATGTTTACTAATGTGGTCACCAGTATTGGTTACTGAAATAATGTTTACTGTGGTGGTCACCAGTATGGGTAACTGAAATAATGTTTACTGTGGTGGTCACCAGTATTGGTAACTGAAATAATGTTTACTGTGGTGGTCACCAGTATGGGTAACTCAAATAATGTTTACTGTTGTGGTCACCAGTATGGGTAACTAAAATAATGTTTACTGTGTCGGTCACCAGTATGGGTAACTGTTACAATCTTTTCTGTGGTGGTCACCAGTATGGGTAACTGAAATAATGTTTACTGTTGTGGTCAGCAGTATGGGTAACTGAAATAATGTTTACTGTGGTGGTCAGCAGTATGGGTAACTGTTACAATGTTTACTGTTGTGGTCACCAGTATGGGTTACTGTTACAATGTTTACTGTGGTGGTCATCAGTATGGGTTACTGAAATAATGTTTACTGTGGTGGTCACTAGTATGGGTAACTGTTACAATGTTTACTGTGGTGGTCACCAGTATGGGTAACTGATATAATGTTTACTATTGTGGTCACCAGTATGGGTAACTGAAATAATGTTAACTGTGGTGGTTACCAGTATTGGTAACTGTTACAATGTTTACTGTTGTGGTCACCAGTATGGGTAACTCAAATAATGTTTAATGTGGTGGTCACAAGTATGGGTAACTGTTACAATGTTTACAGTGGTGGTCACCAGTATGGGTAACTGTTACAATGTTTAGAGTGGTGGTCACCAGTATGGGTAACTGTTACAATGTTTACTGTGGTGGTCACCAGTATGGGTAACTGTTACAATGTTTACTGTTGTGGTCACCAGTATGGGTAACTGAAATAATGTTTACTGTTGTGGTCACCAGTATGGGTAACTGAAAGAATGTTTACTGTTGTTGTCACCAATATTGGTAACTGTTACAATGTTTACTGTTGTGGTCACCAGTATGGGTAACTGAAATAATGTTTACTGTTGTGGTCACCAGTATAGGTAACTGATATAATGTTTACTGTTATGTTCACCAGTATGGGTAACTGATAAAACGTTTACTGTTGTGGTCACCAGTATGGGTAACTGAAATAATGTTTACTGTTGTGGTCAACAGTATGGGTAACTGTTACAATGTTTAGTGTTGTGGTCACCAGTATGGGTAACTCAAAGAATGTTTACTGTTGTTGTCACCAGTATGGGTAACTGTTACAATGTTTACAGTGGTGGTCACCAGTATGGGTAACTGTTACAATGTTTAGAGTGGTGGTCACCAGTATGGGTAACTGTTACAATGTTTACTGTGGTGGTCACCAGTATGGGTAACTGTTACAATGTTTACTGTTGTGGTCACCAGTATGGGTAACTGTTACAATGTTTCCTGTTGTGGTCACCAGTATGGGTAACTGAAATAATGTTTACTGTGGTGGTCACCAGTATGGGTAACTGTTACAATGTTTACTGTTGTGGTCACCAGTATGGGTAACTGTTACAATGTTTACTGTGGTGGTCACCAGTATGGGTAACTGTTATAATGTTTACTGTTGTGGTCAACAGTATGGGGAACTGATATAATGTTTACTACTGTGGTCACCAGTATTGGTTACTGAAATAATGTTTACTGTGGTGGTCACCAGTATGGGTAACTGTTACAATGTTTACTGTTGTGGTCACCAGTATGGGTAACTGATATAATGTTTACTGTGGTGGTCACCAGAATTGGTAACTGAAACAATGTTTACTGTGGTGGTCACCAGTATGGGTAACTGTTATAATGTTTACTAATGTGGTCACCAGTATTGGTTACTGAAATAATGTTTACTGTTGTGGTCACCAGTATGGGTAACTGAAATAATGTTTACTGTGGTGGTCACCAGTATTGGTAACTGAAATAATGTTTACTGTGGTGGTCACCAGTATGGGTAACTCAAATAATGTTTACTGTTGTGGTCACCAGTATGGGTAACTAAAATAATGTTTACTGTGTCGGTCACCAGTATGGGTAACTGTTACAATCTTTTCTGTGGTGGTCACCAGTATGGGTAACTGAAATAATGTTTACTGTTGTGGTCAGCAGTATGGGTAACTGAAATAATGTTTACTGTGGTGGTCAGCAGTATGGGTAACTGTTACAATGTTTACTGTTGTGGTCACCAGTATGGGTTACTGTTACAATGTTTACTGTGGTGGTCATCAGTATGGGTTACTGAAATAATGTTTACTGTGGTGGTCACTAGTATGGGTAACTGTTACAATGTTTACTGTGGTGGTCACCAGTATGGGTAACTGATATAATGTTTACTATTGTGGTCACCAGTATGGGTAACTGAAATAATGTTAACTGTGGTGGTTACCAGTATTGGTAACTGTTACAATGTTTACTGTTGTGGTCACCAGTATGGGTAACTCAAATAATGTTTAATGTGGTGGTCACAAGTATGGGTAACTGATATAATGTTTACTGTTGTGGTCACCAGTATGGGTTACTGAAACAATGTTTACTGTGGTGGTCACCAGTATCGGTAACTGTTACAATGTTTACTGTTGTGATCATCAGTATGGGTAACTGATATAATGTTTACTGTGGTGTTCACCAGTATGAGTAACTGTTACAATGTTTACTGTTGTGATCACCAGTATGGGTAACTGATATAATGTTTACTGTTGTGGTCACCAGTATGGGTAAATGTTACAATGTTTACTGTTGTGGTCACCAGTATGGGTAACTGAAATAATGTTTACTGTGGTGGTCACAAGTATGGGTAACTGATATAATGTTAACTGTTGTGGTCACCAGTATGGGTAACTTTTACAATGTTTACTGCGGTGGTGAACAGTATGGGTAACTGATATAATGTTTACTGTTGTGGTCAGCAGTATGGGTAACTGTTACAATGTTTACTGTGGTGGTCACCAGTATGGGTAACTGATATAATGTTAACTGTTGTGGTCACCAGTATGGGTAACTGTTAGAATGTTTACTGCGGTGGTGAACAGTATGGGTAACTGATAAAATGTTTACTGTTGTGGTCACCAGAATGGGTAACTGAAATAATGTTTACTGTGGTGGTCACCAGTATGGGTAAGTGATATAATGTTTACTGTTGTGGTCACCAGTATGGGTAACTGAAATAATGTTTACTGTTGTGGTCACCAGTATGGGTAACTGAAATAACGTTTACTGTTGTGGTCACCAGTATGGGTAACTGTTATAATGTTTACTGTTGTGGTCACCAGTATGGGTAACTGAAATAATGTTTACTGTGGTGGTCACAAGTATGGGTAACTGATATAATGTTAACTGCTGTGGTCACCAGTATGGGTAACTGTTACAATGTTTACTGCGGTGGTGAACAGTATGGGTAACTGATATAATGTTTACTGTTGTGGTCACCAGTATGGGTAACTGTTACAATGTTTACTGTGGTGGTCACCAGTATGGGTAACTGATATAATGGTTACTACTGTGGTCAGCAGTATGGGTTACTGAAGCAATGTTTAATGTGGTGGTCAGCAGTATGGGTAACTGTTACAATCTTTACTGTTGTGGTCACCAGTATGGGTAACTGAAATAATGTTTACTGTTGTGGTCACCAGTATGGGTAACTCAGATAATGTTTACAGTTGTGGTCACTAGTATGGGTAACTGTTACAATGATTACTGTGGTGGTCACCAATATGGGTAACTGTTACAATGTTTACTGTGGTGGTCACCACTATGGGTAACTGAAATAATGTTTACTGTGGTGGTCACTAATATGGGTAACTGAAATAATGTTTACTGCTGTGGTCACCAGTATGGGTTACTGAAATAATGTTTACTGTTGTGGCCACCAGTATGGGTAACTGAAGTAATGTTTACTGTTGTGGTCACCAGTATGGGTAACTGTTACAATGTTTACTGTGGTGGTCACCAGTATGGGTAACTGAAATAATGTTTACTGCTGTGGTCACCAGTATGGGTTACTGAAATAATGTTTACTGTGGTGGTCACTAGTATGGGTAACTGTTACAATGTTTACTGTGGTGGTCACCAGTATGGGTAACTGTTACAATGTTTACTGTTGTGGCCACCAGTATGGGTAACTGAAGTAATGTTTACTGTTGTGGTCACCAGTATGGGTAACTGTTACAATGTTTACTGTGGTGGTCACCAGTATGGGTAACTGTTACAATGTTTACTGTTGTGGCCACCAGTATGGGTTACTGAAATAATGTTTACTGTTGTGGTCACCAGTATGGGTAACTGAAATAATGTATACTGTGGTGGTCACCAGTATGGGTAACTGTCTAACTGATATAAAGTTTACTGTTGTTGTCACCAGTATGGGTAACTGTTAAAATGTTTACTGTGGTGGTCACCAGTATGAGTAACTGAAATAATGTTTACTGTTGTGGTCACCAGCATTGGTAACTGAAGTAATGTTTACTGTTGTGGTCAAATACTGCTTTTAAGTCACAAGGTGCACAATATTTCTACTGGACACAGGGAGAGATTGGCTCTTAAGAATGGAATGGCTGTATTGTAAAGAGATACTTACATATAAAGAATGTGATGGTTGCCATGACAGACAGCGTCGCGATGACCACGACCAGCCTGCGGAGCGAACACCGACCCATTGTGTGAGATACAGCGTAGTGAAAGCATCGAGTGACCAGCATCACCTGCCCTGGTCGTCACACCTCAGCACATCACCACATCAGAGAGAGCTGGAAAACACATTGAAACAGATACATTGTGCCATCTTCAGAATGTTCAGGGCAGGGTTTGTGTGAATAAATGATGAAATATATTGGTTTTTATTTGGTAAACATGGTCAGCTTGAACATGTTGTGTGGAATAAATGCATGTTGAGAATGTTGGAGAAATGAATGCATGGTGAATGGTAGGGTAGCACCTGTTTTCACTTTTTCTTTTATACCTAATTACATGAAGCATTGTTTTTCGCAAATCTGGTGCTGTTTTCATCAGGGAGTGGAGGTTAGGATATGTTTTTACGCCGCTTTTAGCAATATTCCAGCAATATCACAGTAGGGGGACACCAGAAATGGGCTTCACACAATGTACCCATGTCGGGAATCGAACCCGGGTCTTCGGCGTGACGAGCGAACGCTTTAACCACTAGGCTACTCGACCACCCCCTGATTTAACCATATGAAACATACACTAGTATAACCTCATATTGAAAAATGCAACCTAATACATCAACCCAATGCATGTCCAAATTTTACACAAATTGTGATTGAATGAAGTCAATCTTATGATAATGACAGGACATTAATGGATGTATAAGTGATTCCATTCAAAGCGATCATGTCAGTGAACTTAAAATTTCAGAATATTAACGAAACTGATCTGGTATCATAGATCATATACTGATGGAAAAGAAAGAGGGAACAATGAAAAATATTGGGAAATAAGCTTTGATGTCAGTACATTTGAAATAGTGGGCGAACAAATTCAGATGTTGAGATGCGTTTGTGATCATTGTTTCCAACATGTATATGGTAAACAGTAGGAACAGATGACAGCATATCATTTTACATTGTCTAAAACTAAGCGTTCCCATATTCATTTTCATCAGTATATTTTCTTATCATATACATCTACAGTTGATGTTATGTTTGTTTTTTTGTTTTTTGTTTAAAGCCTCACTCAGCAATATTCCAGGTATATGACAGCGGCCACCTGTAAATAATGAGTCTGGACCAGACGATCCAGTGATGGTTTTGTGCAACCGGGTTTTGTCTGGTGTGCAAGTTATAGCTAGTTCCTGAAATTGAGTCCTGTCAACCCAACTCTATCCTTAGTCCATGGATCCTCTTTCCAAACAAGCACCCCTTCGTGACTATTAGGATAAGACACCCTTGTAAATTAAACAACTCTTTCTGATGTTCAGCGTTAGTCGTGAGTTTGGGTTAATTAATCCAATGTTATCTGAAAATCTGTACAATTTTTATCATGTTCAGCAGAAAGAGGAAGCTACCAAACATGCACACCAACTTCACTGATCAGTGGGTAAATGTGCACTCATGGTCCAAAAAAATCAACTAAATCCAAATGGTACTTCAAGCTGGCACAGTGATGTGTGTTCAATCCTCTATTCACAAGGCACAAACTGTATTATGAAAAGTGTTCCTAATGTAGACAAGTGTCAACAGAAGAAGAACTCCCCCCCCCCAAAAAAAAAGAAAAAAAAAAGAAAAAAGCAAAAGGCAAAAGGCACCACTTCAGCCCCTGGTGAAAACATGTACCAAGTTTTGATGAAAATTGTCAGTTTTCAAGTAATGCTACGGCAACGTAAAATGGACAAACAGACAGACCAGGTTATGACTATATTCACCCAGATTCTATGCTGAGTGGATAAAATTAACTAATCTGAAACCTTGTGACTGTCTGTCAATGATATCATGTCTACCAAGTCTCGACGTCAAATGCTTAACATTTTTACAACAAATAATATTGAACATCAAACAGCATTCACGACAATACTTAAGTGCTGACACAGATGATACTGATAATGAGAGAACATAGAGGCATGACTGAACTATTTACCATGTTGACACAAAAACGCAGCTGAAACGTGTCAATGTCTGTAAGACGGTATTTTTTCTAAATTTAAATAAAATTTATGCTCAGCAGCTGATACAGTTGGGTCACTTTTCATTCAACATTAAATAAACTGAAAATGTTGGTGTGTTCAATAACACTGCATGAATGACGTATTCGGCGTAATCTTTGGGACCTTCAGCCCTTACGTCAGAGGGTATGTTCAGAAAGATGTTGCCCACGCAGCCCCCCAAAACAAGGACAATAGGACACTGCACTATACATTACAACCGTGCATTTAATGTACTTATTGCGCTGAACATGGACTTACAGTCTGCTAACTTGTATGAGGTTGGAAGATGTGCTTAATATCAAATATTTCGGAAGAAAAACATCACATTATTTTTTCCGGATGTGAGATGTATCCATCAAAGGGGCATAACTCTAAAACTTAAACACGATATCACACCGCTAAAATACTATTTATTTACCGTTGGGCCATCCCCGATTACCCAGCTTATCATATCTCCATCTATTTAAAAATGTATGTTATTTTACTTATTAAAATTAAAACCTGTTGCTAAATTTATTTTAAAAACTCCCACAACGAATTTTTACGAAGCGCGAATTGTGAGAGGACATACAACAAATATGTGTTTAATATTTAAGGTTGTTTTGTTTTTTTATCTACCTGACCTGAAACAGGCAACTAGTAGTGGTAGTGGTGTTGGTGGTGGAATAACAGCTTAGTAGCTCTCTCTCTCTCTCTCTCTCTCTCTCTCTCTCTCTCTCTCTCTCTCTCTCTCTCTCTCTCTCTCTCTCTCTCCCTTCGGTTCGCACACCAAGTCAAATTGTCGAAATTTTCATTGGAAGCGCACGTAAATTCTATTAATCTGACCACACATTCCACGTAAGCACACATGCTTCTTTTGTTGAGACAGGTTCCTTGGCATAAACAGACCATCATTCAGCAAACATCTTTTTAACAAATCCCAATGTTGTATTGATGTGTGGAAAGGCTCCAAAAGGCGACGTCGTGTACAGCTGAAAATGTAACAGCTGTATGTTAGCATGGAATTACAACATGCAAGCCTTCTTTTCATCATCCTGTTGACGCTAGACAGGGAGAGTGATTGAGTGAGTATGGTTTGACGCTTAATCAAGCCACATATGAAGACATGAAAGTGTTTATGGCTAATAAGGTTTCAGCGCTTCTTTTGCAACCAGAAGCACAACCAGAAAGAAGTGATACACACACTTTACAGTGTAATGGCGACAACCAGAAAGAAGTGGCACACGTTTCACAGTGAAATTACGACAACCAGAAAGAAGTGATACACAAATTTCACAGTGTAATGATGACAACCAGAAAGAAGTGATACACAAGTTTCACAGTGAAATGACGACAAGGAAGAAGTGATGCACACGTTTCACAGTGTAATGACGACAACCAGAAAGAAGTGATACACAAATTTCACAGTGTAATGATGACAACCAGAAAGAAGTGGTACACAAGTTTCACAGTGAAATGACGACAAGGAAGAAGTGATGCACACGTTTCACAGTGTAATGACGACAACCAGAAAGAAGTGATACACACGTTTCACAGTGAAATGACAACAACCAGAAAGAAGTGGTACACAAGTTTCACAGTGTAATGACAACAACCAGAAAGAAGTGATACACAGGTTTCACAGTGTAATGACGACAACCAGAAAGAAGTGGTACACAAGTTTCACAGCGTAATGACGACAACCAGAAAGAAGTGATACACAAGTTTCACAGTGTAATGACGACAACCAGAAAGAAGTGGTACACAAGTTTCACAGTGTAATGACGACAACCGGAAAGAAGTGATGCACACGTTTCACAGTGTAATGATGAAAACCAGAAAGAAGTGATACACACGTTTCACAGTGTAATGTCGACAACCAGAAAGAAGTGGTACACAAGTTTCACAGTGTAATGACGACAACCAGAAAGAAGTGATACACAGGTTTCACAGTGTAATGATGACAACCAGAAAGAAGTGGTACACAAGTTTCACAGTGAAATGACGACAAGGAAAAAGTGATGCACACGTTTCACAGTGTAATGACGACAACCAGAAAGAAGTGATACACAAATTTCACAGTGTAATGATGACAACCAGAAAGAAGTGGTACACAAGTTTCACAGTGAAATGACGACAAGGAAGAAGTGATGCACACGTTTCACAGTGTAATGACGACAACCAGAAAGAAGTGATACACACGTTTCACAGTGTAATGATGACCAGAAAGAAGTGATACACACGTTTCACAGTGTAATGATGACAACCAGAAAGAAGTGGTACACACGTTTCACTGTGTAATGACAACAACCAGAAAGAAGTGATACACAAGTTTCACAGTGTAATGACGACAACCAGAATGAAGTGATGCACACGTTTCACAGTGTAATGAAGACAATCAGAAGAAGTGATACACACGTTTCACAGTGTAATGATGACAATCAGAAAGAAGTGATGCACACGTTTCACAGTGTAATGATGACAATCAGAAGAAGTGATACACACGTTTCACAGTGTAATGATGACAATTAGAAATAAGTGATACACAAGTTTCACAGTGTAATGACGACAACCAGAAAGAAGTGATACACACGTTTCACAGTGTGACGACGACAACCAGAAAGAAGTGATACACACGTTTCACAGTGTAATGACGACAACCAGAAAGAAGTGATACACAAGTTTCACAGTGTAATGATGACCAGGAAGAAGTGATGCACACGTTTCACAGTGTAATGACGAGAACCAAAAAGAAGTGGTACACAAGTTTCACATTGAAATGATGACAACCAGAAAGAAGTGATACACAAGTTTCACAGTGTAATGACGAGAACCAGAAAGAAGTGGTACACAAGTTTCACAGTGAAATGACGACAAGAAAAAAGTGATGCACACGTTTCACAGTGTAATGACGACAACCAGAAAGAAGTGATACACAAATTTCACAGTGTAATGATGACAACCAGAAAGAAGTGGTACACAAGTTTCACAGTGAAATGACGACAAGGAAGAAGTGATGCACACGTTTCACAGTGTAATGACGACAACCAGAAAGAAGTGACACACACGTTTCACAGTGTAATGATGACCAGAAAGAAGTGATACACACGTTTCACAGTGTAATGATGACAACCAGAAAGAAGTGGTACACACGTTTCACTGTGTAATGACAACAACCAGAAAGAAGTGATACACAAGTTTCACAGTGTAATGACGACAACCAGAATGAAGTGATGCACACGTTTCACAGTGTAATGAAGACAATCAGAAGAAGTGATACACACGTTTCACAGTGTAATGATGACAATCAGAAAGAAGTGATACACACGTTTCACTGTGTAATGACAACAACCAAAAAGAAGTGATACACAAGTTTCACAGTGTAATGACGACAACCAGAAAAGAAGTGATGCACACGTTTCACAGTGTAATGATGACAATCAGAAGAAGTGATACACACGTTTCACAGTGTAATGATGACAATTAGAAAGAAGTGATACACAAGTTTCACAGTGTAATGACGACAACCAGAAAGAAGTGATACACACGTTTCACAGTGTGACGACGACAACCAGAAAGAAGTGATACACACGTTTCACAGTGTAATGACGACAACCAGAAAGAAGTGATACACAAGTTTCACAGTGTAATGATGACCAGGAAGAAGTGATGCACACGTTTCACAGTGTAATGACGAGAACCAAAAAGAAGTGGTACACAAGTTTCACAGTGTAATGACGAGAACCAGAAAGAGGTGATACACAAGTTTCACAGTGTAATGATGACAACCAGAAATAAGTGATACACAAGTTTCACAGTGTAATGACGACAACCAGAAAGAAGTGATACACAGGTTTCACAGTGTAATGATGACAACCAGAAAGAAGTGGTACACAAGTTTCACAGTGAAATGACGACAAGGAAAAAGTGATGCACACGTTTCACAGTGTAATGACGACAACCAGAAAGAAGTGATACACAAATTTCACAGTGTAATGATGACCAGAAAGAAGTGATACACACGTTTCACAGTGTAATGACGACAACCAGAAAGAAGTGATACACACGTTTCACAGTGTAATGATGACCAGAAAGAAGTGATACACACGTTTCACAGTGTAATGATGACAACCAGAAAGAAGTGGTACACACGTTTCACTGTGTAATGACAACAACCAGAAAGAAGTGATACACAAGTTTCACAGTGTAATGACGACAACCAGAATGAAGTGATGCACACGTTTCACAGTGTAATGAAGACAATCAGAAGAAGTGATACACACGTTTCACAGTGTAATGATGACAATCAGAAAGAAGTGATACACACGTTTCACTGTGTAATGACAACAACCAAAAAGAAGTGATACACAAGTTTCACAGTGTAATGACGACAACCAGAAAAGAAGTGATGCACACGTTTCACAGTGTAATGATGACAATCAGAAGAAGTGATACACACGTTTCACAGTGTAATGATGACAATTAGAAAGAAGTGATACACAAGTTTCACAGTGTAATGACGACAACCAGAAAGAAGTGATACACACGTTTCACAGTGTGACGACGACAACCAGAAAGAAGTGATACACACGTTTCACAGTGTAATGACGACAACCAGAAAGAAGTGATACACAAGTTTCACAGTGTAATGATGACCAGGAAGAAGTGATGCACACGTTTCACAGTGTAATGACGAGAACCAAAAAGAAGTGGTACACAAGTTTCACATTGAAATGATGACAACCAGAAAGAAGTGATACACAAGTTTCACAGTGTAATGACGAGAACCAGAAAGAAGTGGTACACAAGTTTCACAGTGAAATGACGACAAGGAAAAAGTGATGCACACGTTTTACAGTGTAATGACGACAACCAGAAAGAAGTGATACACAAATTTCACAGTGTAATGATGACAACCAGAAAGAAGTGGTACACAAGTTTCACAGTGTAATGATGACCAGGAAGAAGTGATGCACACGTTTCACAGTGTAATGACGACAACCAGAAAGAAGTGATACACAAGTTTCACAGTGTAATGATGACCAGGAAGAAGTGATGCACACGTTTCACAGTGTAATGACGAGAACCAAAAAGAAGTGGTACACACGTTTCACATTGAAATGATGACAACCAGAAAGAAGTGATACACAAGTTTCACAGTGTAATGACGAGAACCAGAAAGAGGTGATACACAAGTTTCACAGTGTAATGATGACAACCAGAAATAAGTGGTACACAAGTTTCACAGTGTAATGATGACCAGGAAGAAGTGATACACAAGTTTCACAGTGTAATGATGACAACCAGAAAGAAGTGGTACGCAAGTTTCACAGTGAAATGATGACAACCAGAAAGAAGTGGTACACAAGTTTCACATTGAAATGACGACAAG